GAAAACTAATTCCTCAGAACCTTTACTCCTTGTAGAATCTCCTGTAAGATTAATTGAACGAGAAAATAATGTTATTTATTTTATTAAGCATTTTCTTCAAAAGGAAAAGATTTTTGAAGGAAAAAAAGATCAAAAATTTTATAATAAAATTCGCATAACTTTGAATTCTTATAAATCCTTAATCTACTAAAAATTTTTAAAAAAACCTTCTGCCAGGCTATTCTTTGAATCATAGAGAAAAAAACGATGGAAATTTTTTACTCTAAATTGATTGGTTATTGAGCCTGTACGTTTCAAAGTTTAGCAGTATTTTTAACATTTGGATGATTTTACTAACAAATTAAAAAAACTCACTGTCATCATGTGAACCATTACATTTGTTATAATATCACTTAATTTTATAGTTGTATCTTTTTTTTTTGAATGAGAAGATGCAATAATTGTTGAAAAAAAGTTTATTAGTAAATTTTATATATGATGTTAATTAGTTGGTCACCAATTAATTTTGGAGAGCGTGTTTTAATTGAATTTATTTATTTATTTACCGTAAAGTCTGGAGCATCCCCTTTTTACATAGGTGTAACATTTTTTTAATATTGACGCTCAATTGTTTCGGGGGGTGCTATCTATCCAGACTTTACGGTAATTGTGTGTGAATTTAGCTATACTAACGAATTAGATTTATTAATAAAAATATTTTATTTATTTGTATTTAGCCGAAACTAATTATTAACTTACGACCACAGCGAATTCTCACTCTTTATAGACTTGTTTTAATAAAAATGTGTTTCACGGGAGTGACATACTAAAAGTTATTTGAAATGATTCAGGCCTTTTTAAATTCAATCGGCGAGCAACTTGTTTACAGCTAAATATCAATTCTGAAACTCTGGCCACTCCGAAAATATTTCAGCACAAATCCTTATGGCATGCTGCGCATTTTTATATAAATATATTTCATTTTAATTGAAAGATCAAATCTTTTTTGTTAATACAAGTAATAAAACAATTATAATTATTGTTCATTGAATAGAGAAGATGGATTGAAATAACAAACTATTCTAAATGCTAAAATTTTCATAAATTTCGCTTGGACATTTAATCCACTCTTTAAATATTTGTTCTCTCAAGCATTTTTTGGCAAGTTGATAATCTTTATTAATTGATTTGAATTCTCGATAAGATATTTCTTTTGTTATTCTAAATTGTTAAAGGTGGAAAATAATTATAATTATTGTCAATTAAAATCCCTCCATTTCATATTTATGTAAATAAAAATAACCTTAAATCGTCGGAAACAAGATCAGATGGGATTTTACTTAACAATTCTACAATACTTTTAAATAATGATAGTTTTGATACCAAACTCCTTTTTTAATTTTGTCAAAAAAAACCGAAAATTCATCAATATTATGCAAAAGATCCGAGATAAGCAACTATTACTCATTTACCTTGTTTTAGATGAAAGTTTTGATTTGGATGCGCCTTGTTTTCGACCATTTACAAGAAATTCAATGTTGTTTGAAGGACCTTTGAACCAAACTTTTGCTAAAATAAAATAAATTTATATAAGTCTCACAGCAATTTCTCTCTGTATTGGTGAATATATACAATTTACCAATGTTTGATGTAACAATTTTTCCTTGAGGAAATTGGTTTGATATGTAATTAAATGATTCGTCAAATTCTTGGGTTGATTGAATTATTTTTGGAATATTACATGAATATGGATAAGGCAAACCTTCATAAATAAATCTTTAATAAATAATTTGGTCTAAATAATAAAGAAATAAATATCGATGATAATACTTTGTAATCCTTGAATTCTTTCAAATAAAGCTCTCTCCAAAGATTGTTTGGAAAACAAATCACCAATTATTATTGTAGATAAATAAATCGGCGATATGAGTTCTGAGAGAAGAGATGATTGTAATCCAACAACGTTCCATTGAGCCAATTTATCGCTTTAACCAATCATTATCGTAATCAAAAGGAATCTATTAACAATGATAGTGATAATAATATAATGACTCAAGATTATATATTAATTAACCTGCATGACATTGATAAAGTTGGCTCAGAATCAGCTCTACCTTGATATTAAAAAGGTATAACAATTTTCAATTTTCAATAAATAATTATAATTATAATAATAGTGATAATCAAGAATTATTTTTTTTACCAGGTTTAGTTCTCAGAACCCCAATAGATTTATAATCCATTCTTCCGCGTCTAAAACCATCCTTACCAAGCTTAACTTGAATCATTTGATCCTCTTGATTATCATTGTCATTATCGTTATCATCATCATCATCATCATCATCATCATTATTATTATTATTATTATTCGTAATATTGTCATATAAATTATGATATATTTCTGCATCTTGTGATGATTGTTTTGAAGCTAAAGGAATTGTTGACGCATCTCCACCTATATTATTAAGATATGCATAACAACATTAGATGTGATCCATCATTTATTTATAATTTTGTTTTCTATTATTTAATGCCTTACATGGTGATTGACTAATGTACATATGAAATGTTAAAGAAGAGTCTTTAAATTTAAACAATGGTTTGAATTTATTCTTCTTCTTCTCTTGTGATAATTGATCATTCATAATAAAGTATTCTGATTGAGAACTTAGTGCTAACTCTAATTCATTTATAATAAATCTGTATAATTATAATTTTGTTAAGAGTCTAAAGTTTCTTTTGTCAAAAAAAAAAAATAGATTTTCTTGATTTTTCCTCACTTTACAAACGCTCTTTTAGCTAAAACTTCAGCATGACTATCATGTATAAGGTCACCATTCTTTGAAAGTTTACTCTGTGATAAACATTTTAAACCGCTCCTTATAATAATTTATACATGTGTAAATATAAATATTTATTATATTTGAAGAAACTTTGATTAAATATGCATTTATATTATTACCCAATTGATACACATGATAAGTCATATTCCCCTATAACTATATAAAATAAATAAAATATATAAAAATATATTACTTACTGCCCAATAATATCAATAATACTTTTGAAATACCTCGGACAGTACAGGAAACTATTCCAGCTAAAACAGTCCATTCTTTATTATTGTTATTATTGTTATTTTGTACTGATGATGATTTATTTTTATTAATTAACTTATATTTTTGATGACATAATTCAGTAACAAGTTTGGAAAATTCAATTTCATTAAGCCAAGATGATGATGATGATAAGATTTGTCGATTCATTTTTTTTTTAAAAAAGAAAAAAATACATTTTTATTTATTTTAACATAACACCACGTGATATAAAATATAAATAATAATATTTTTATGACTTGGGGGGTTTTTTTTTCTCACTATCTTTTAACAAAATTAAATTTTAGAATTAATAATATCAACAAATTCTGGTTTTAAAGATGCCCCACCAACAAGGAAACCATCAATATCTGGCTGTTTGGCTATATTATGATAATTAATAATAATAACAATATGGAAAATAAATAACAATTAGATGATTAATTAATCAATAATTAATAATTTAAAGGTTTTTTTACCTAATTCCAAAGAATTGTGAGCATCAACAGATCCTAATTAATTATAAAAAATAAATTAAATATAATGTTTTTAAAAAACCATTATAAAAAGTAGTAATAACTTTGTTACCTCCATAAATTACTCTTGTATTTTCGGATGCTGATTCTGACACATTTTCTTTTAACCAGTTTCTAATATATCCGTGAACTTCTTGTGCCTATATATATATATATATATACACATGTATATATAAATAAAATTTAAAATTATTATTTCATATCCACGACCACACATATATGATAATACCTTTTCAGGTGTGGGAAATAAACCAGTGCCAATAGCCCAGACAGGTTCATATGCAATCACAACATTTGTCCAATCATTAACTTTATTAACAATTGCTCTTAATTGTTTATCTATGACTTTAAAAGTCAAACTAGGATCATCTTGAAGTCTTTCTTTTTCTCCAACACATGCAATAACTTTAACACCCGCTTTTAATGCATGTGCAATTTTATCTGCTATAAACTAAATCATTTATAACAATTATAACAATTAAAATCACTAATTATTAATAATAATAGTCTCTATTTTTTTTTTTCCAATAATAAAAAAGACAATTATTCCACTTACATCATCCGACTCTTTAAAAATTTCACGACGTTCAGAATGTCCCAAAATGACCCATTCAATCCCGATATCTTTTAATTGTTCAGGACTATTTAATATATTCACTTAGTATTAGTAAGCAAAATAATTAAATAAACAAGGACAAGGACAATAATAACCAACTGTCATACCTGATTTCTCCAGTAAAAGCACCTTCGGCTGCCTTGTAAGCATTTTGAGCTGCGACTTTAATATTATCTTTACGAATATTATTACGAACCTGTTCAATATATATTGCGGGAGGAGCAATTACTACTTCTATTAAATACAATTCACAAATTCACATTTAGTTTAACTTTTTTTTTTAATTATTAATTTTTGAAAAAAAAATTTTTTTCTGACCAACATCAGTCTTTAAATCATTTGAGTTTAACCTTTCCACCAGTTCTTTTAATTTTTGGCTGGTACCTTTCATCTTAAAATTACCTATTTAAAAAAAATGGATTTTTTAAGCATCGTAATATTAAGAGAAAAATTGTAATTAATGAATTAATTTTTTATTCTTTAATTCTTACCACCAACAAAAAATTTTCGTGCCATTATTAAATATTATTAAAATATGTTAATTGAGAATAAAGAAGAATAGAGAAAATAGTGTAAAAAAGATTGGATCGAAAATCATAAGATTTCATAAAATAAATAATAGCATGATGAATGTTGATCAATGCCAAATTACATAATTTCTAAAAGTTTACAATTTGCACATTTTTTTTTTATAAAAAAGGAAATAAATAATAAACTCTTTCTCTTATCAAGTAATTTGAATATTTTTTTTTCATTTACACCAAAAAAACATGTTTATTAATATTTATAAATTTGTTTCGTAATTAAACTATTTAAGAACACTCGATTCAGAATGTAGAGGGGTCTTTTTTTGCTCGCTCATTCAAATGATTTGAAATAAAAAAATGTCAGATTCTTCAAATGATGTCGTTACCGATACCGAGAATGAATGAATTTTCGAATAGAAGAAAAGAAAAATATGGTAAATGTTCAATTTGTAATAGATATAATACCAATTATTCATGGTGTCAATCATGTGATACACAGCTGTTGACTCAAGGATGGACCAGCGGGTAATAAAGCGATTGATTAATTGATCATGGATACTCAACTTAATGCTAAATCATTCGAGAATGCATATTATCTCGAATGGATTTCTTTTGCTAAATTTAAAAATATTGAAGAGATAGGTAAAGGTGGATTTTCAACCATATATAGAGCTACTTGGACAAATGGTATAAAATATATAAATATCAATAATAATAAAAGAAGGTGAAAGATCGAATAGTTGTACTCGAACGATTAGATAAATCACAAAATGGGTTTGATAAATTTTTAAAAGAGGTAAATCATCTTAATAATAACGATAATAAACTATTAAAATATTAACAAATTAATATCCCTCTGTAATTAATAATAGCTGTTAAATTATCTTGGATTTGATGATTGTTTTTCAAATATTATTAATATTTATGGCGTATCACAACATCCAAAAACAAAAGAATATATTATGGTAATGCCATATGCAGAAGATGGAAACCTTCATAAATATTTGAAATCAGAATTTAAAGACATTGATTGAATGGAAACATAAAATTCACATGCTTTCTGAAATCATTAGCGGTCTAAAGAGATTTCATTTCTATAACTTTTTACACTGTGATTTTCATAGTCAAAAACCGTAATTAGTTTAGGATTATCAATTCCAGCTGATTCGTTATCATCATCGTCACCACCAGACAATAATGATAGCACTACAAATACTACGTATGGGTATTGCCATATATTGCTCCTAAAGTGTTGATAGGTAAACCTTATACATTGAAGACTGACATTTATAGTTTTGGTATAATAATGTCAGAGATTTCAACAGGTAGACAACCTTTCAACGACATTGTTCATCATAGCGAACTTGCGCTTAATATTATTCAAGGATTACGGCCAGTATTTTCATGCAACACTCTCAAATTTAACATATAAATGCATGAATGCTAAATCCAGATAAACGTCCAATATTTATAACGAGGTTCACTTTTGGCTTAGCTCTTTCAATTATGACGATTTAATAAAAGCAAATTATATGGGTTATTCAAAGGAGCAACTTAAGCAATTAAAATTAATTAAAGAGGCATTTGATAAAATGAATAAAATTAAATTTAGTCATACAACAGCAACAACTCACCAATACGCAAGTTATACAAGTATATAGACTATTGAGTTTTACTAATCTTTCTCCTAAACCTGTAATTCTAATAAAGTTACAATAATTGGCAATTATAACGGTAAATATAATAATAACGGTATAATAACATAAAAATACAATATATTAATAGTATTTTATTTACTGAATATTTCATTTGTATATTCAAACCAAATTGAATCAACTATTATATAATTAGATTTATTATTAATGATTGTTGTATATAATACATGGATATTATAAATATGAATATCCTGTAATTTTTTTTTTACAAAAAATATTTTGCGAGAATGATTCTTGCAACGCACGCAGCAATGATCTTCAATCAATCCAAATTTGGTTTGTGAATAAAATAGTAATAGAATTGGAAAAAACTTTAAATTTTCTTTTTTGTGATCTTTTTAAAAAAATATTTTTGTTAAAATGGCTGCAGAAGCTAGGAAAGCTTTAGAGGTTAGTTGGTTAAAATTAGTATCTATTAACCATTACGAAAATTGATAGATTATGTATTTGAATTTTTACATTATTTTTTGTCACTCTCTATATATATACACATAAGGCTTTAATGGGAGCAGAAGCTATGGGTGGTATTCCAGATCATATGAAATATAGTGATGAAAAAGTTTGTCGAAATCATCTTTGTGGACTTTGCCCACATGAACTTTTCACGTAAGTTTTTTTTCCTTTATTAAATAGTAAAAATTAAATAGATAAATAAATATTATAAAAAAAAAGACGTACGCGTTTATGTTTTTTTTATATTTTATTTTATTATTTTATTAAATAATTTTATCACTTTCAATAGTCTCAAAACTTACAAAATTAGTAGTAAAGATGTCTAACTGGCCTTCTTTCTGACAAATATTGTCTATCGTTTTTTTTCTCCTATTTTCTTCCTTCCTTCCTTCCTTTCTCCCTTCATTCTTTATTTCTTTCATTCAAAATAATTAAAAAATAAATTTAATAATATTTTAAAAAAATAAATCTTTAAAAAAATAAAAACAGAAATACGGTTGAAACCTTATATTATAACTATTATAATTCTATCATTGCTATTATTTTTATTTATTTGAATTTCTGAATCTACACTTTTCTTGTTTTCTTAAACAAAGATTTATATTATATTATTATTAATATGTAATAATAATATAGAAAATGGATCTTGGACCATGTCCTAAAATTCATTCAGAAAAATTGAAATCGGAATATGAAGAGGCAAAGAAACAAAAAGAAGTTGATTATGAACTGGAATTTGAACGAAGTCTAGGAAATTTTGTTTCAGATTGTGATAGAAAAATATCAGGTGCACAAAAACGTCTTGATAAAACTCCCGAAGATAATGCTAAAATCACTCAATTGGTATTCTTCTTATTTATTTATTTACCTCACATATATATATTTTTTGTATGTGAGTATGTTTATAATATTTATATTCGTGTAGACCAAAGAGATTGAGAATCTAGCGTCTGAAATATCAGAATTAACTAAAGAAGTTGAAGTACTCGGTAAAGAATTGTTTGTTTGTTTGTTTGTTTGTTTGTTCGTTCGTTCGTTTATTTATGGGGTTATGAATATTAATTTTTTCGAATCTTGGGATTACAGGTGAAGAAGGCAAAGTTACAGAATCTATGGATAGATTACACGAAGTTGATATAAAAAAAGGACAAAAAGCAGATAAAGAGGTTGCT